AATATTATGAATCTATATAATATATAATTTTATATATATAAATTTATAAATATATAAATATATAAATATAATAAATTTTGGAAATCTCTAATTGTATAAATATTATAGTTTATAGTAAATATTATTTAATTAGATAATAATAATTATCTAATTACATATATAATATAATCTAATTATATAAATAAAATGCATATGGTTTATATAATATTCTTGATTTCAAATAAAATAAACTAATTTTACAAATATTTAAACTAAGTATACAAGTTGATAAATTCGATTTTAATTTTTTTATTTAGATAACTTGATATTCATTTTGGATATGAATTATTAATATATAATATTTTTTCAGAAATATACAAATTATTTTTTAATCAATAAATGAATTATAAATATACATTGAAGAATCAAGAGAAAAATATAAAATAGTATAAGAGCAATACTTATTAAGAACTAATTAATATATATTTGATATTAAATAATACCAATTTATTTTCTTATAAAGTCTAATTTAGAATTGTGAATTTTGTGTTAGAATTCAGAAATCAGATAGGAATTTATTATAATCACAATAAATAAAACAATACACTGAAAACCAATATAAAAGCATTTCATCGATTTTCTTAGATTCCTTAGATAATATAATTTTTATTATTTATAATGATAAGTTTACCAATCTAAATTCGAAGAAATACTAAATCTACTTTATACTTCATCAATAATTTCTGTTATAATTAAATTTTCAACATTTTATTATTATATATTTTAATAATTTTTATTTAATAATAGAATTTTAATAAATAGTAGAATAATTTATTTCAGACAAGAATTCGATAGTTCCCAATTTTAACATAGTAGAATTTCGAAATTGATTACGAAGTAAAAGGATTTGGAAGTAGATAATTATGTATCAGATCAATCAATTTATAAAAATAAAAAATTTGGAAAAATGCAGACATAATTCGAAACATAAATATGGAATACGGAACATAATTCATTGGATAGGTAATCAAAAATTTAGACGCTAAGTAATTATACATTAATTTATTAATATAATTTTTTAAACATTTTTTAATTAAAATAAAAAGTAAGTTTAAAGTAAAC